AGCAACCATATTACCTAAAGTAATCTACAGATTCAATGCAATCCCTATCAAAATGCTAACATCATTTTTTACAGAATTAGAGAAAACAATCCTAAAATTCATATGGAACCAAAAAAAACCAAATAGTCAAAGCAATATTATTATTATTTTTTTATTTTTTAGCTAAAACAATTTTAAGCAAAAGAACAAAACTGAAGGCATCACATTAACTGACTTAAAATTATACTATAAGGCTATAGTATACTACATTCTGTGTAGTTTATTACATGTAGTGTACTACCATGCTGTAATAACCAAACAGCATGGTACAGTACAATAGCAAACATAGATTGATGGAACATAATAGAGAATTCAGAAGTATACCCAAATACCTACAACCAACTCATCTTTGCCAAAGCAGACAAAAACATACACTGGGGAACAGACACCCTATTTAGCAAATAGTGCTGGGAAAACAGGGTAGCTATATGCAGAAAAATGAAACTTGATCCCTGTGTTTCTTGCCATATGCAAGAATTAATTCAAGATAGATTAGAGACTTAAATGTCCGACCTGAAACCATAAAAATCCTAGAAGAAAACTAGGAAAAACTCTTCTGGACATTGGCCTAGGCAAAGACTGTATGGCTAACATCCCAAAGGCAAATACACCAAAACCAAAAATGAGTGAGACTTAATTAAATGATAAAGCTTCTGCGCAGCAAAATAAATCATCAACAGATCAAATGGGTAACCTACAGAATGGGAGAAGACATTTGCAAACTACATATCTGATAAAGGACTGATACTCAGAATCTAGAAAAAACTCAAAATCAGCAAGAAAAAATAAAATTACCCCATTAAAATGATATGAAGAGACATCTCTCAAAAGAAGATATAGAAATGGCCAAGAAACATACAAAAAAATGCTCAACATTCCTAGTCATCAGGGAAATGCAAATTAAAGTCACAGTGAGATACCACATTGCCTCAATTAGAATAGCCATTATTTAAAAAATTAAAAAGCAGTAGATGCTAATGTGGATGCAGTGAAAAGAGGACACTTATATACTGTTGGTGGGAGTGTAAATTAGCACAACCTCTGTGGAAATTGGTATGGAGATTTCTCAAGAACTAAAAGTAGATTTGATTCAACAATCCAACTACTAGGTATCTACCCAAAGGATCAGAGGTTGTTATACAAAAAAGACACCTGCCCTCACTCATTGCAGCACAACTCACAATTGCAAAGATGTAGAATCAACCTAAATGCCCATCAGCTGATCAATAGATAATGAAAATGTGATATATTTGTGGTTATATGTTTGTATATGTATGTATGTATATATGTATGAATATTTACGTACATACCATAGAATACTATGTAGCCATGGAAGAGAATGAAATAATGACTTTTGCAGCAACTCGGATGGAATTGGAGAACATCTTTCTAGGTGAACTAACACAGAAACAGGAAACGAAACATCACATGCCCTCACTTATAATTGGGAGTTAAACTTAGGAAAGAGAATGGTATAATGGACATTGGTAACTCAGAAGGAGGAGGGTAGAAGGAGGTGGAAAGATGAAAGATCACCTGTTAGGTACAATGTGCATAGGCGAGGGTAGTGAGTACGTTTGAAACCTAAAATCATGGGTAAACTTAAAGCCCAGACCACTTTGCCACTAAACAATGCATTCATGTAACCCAAAACTATTTGTATTCCCTTTAGCTATTGAAATAAAGGGAGAAAAAAGAATTATAAGCAAACCCTATGAATAATTAACTGTATGCCAACAAATTAGATAACCCAGGAGTAATAGACACATTTTTTTGTAAGTCACAAATTCCCTAAACTGACTTAAAAAGAAATAGAAAACCTCAATAGACCTATAACAAGTAAAGAGTTTAATTTAAACTCTTAATTTAATTTAATAAAAACCTCCCAGAGAAAAATCCTGGACCAAATGGCTTCATTGTTGAATTCTACCAAACATTTAAAGATTTAATGTCAATTCTTCTTAAATTCTTCTAAAATTGAAGAAACAATACCTCCTAACTCATTCTATGAGGCCAACATTACCTTGCTACCAAAACTAGATAAAGACATCACAAGTAAATAAAATTACAGACCAGTATCTCATATGAATTTGATTCAAAAATACTCAACAGAAATATTAGCAAATCAAATCTGTTAGCACATTTAAAAATTATCATGACCTAGGTGAATATCTCAGGATTTATCCCAAGAGTGACAGAGTGGTTCAACATGACAAAATGAATCAATGTAATGAATCGCCTTAGTAGAACAAAAGAAAAAAACATTATCTCAGCAAAGAAAAGATTCAACAAACTCCAACATCCTTTCATAATAGAAACACTCAGAAAACTAAGAATAGAGGGAAAATTCCTCAACATGATAAAAGGTACTTATGAAAACCTCCCACTAGGCTGCGCACAGTGGCTCAAGCCTGTAATCCCAGCACTTTGGGAGGCCAAGGTGAGAGGATTGCTTAAGCAACTTGGTGAGACCTTGTCTCTACAGTATATCAAAAAATTAGCCAGGCATGGAAGCACATGCCTGTAGTTCTGGCTACTTGAAAGACTGAGGCAGAAGGATTGCCTGAGCCCATCAGGTTGACGCTGGGGTGGCTGTGAGCATGCCACTGCACTCCAGCCTGGGTGACAGAGTAAGACTCTGACTCCAAAAATAGAAAAAGAAAAAACCTCTAGGTAACATCATACTCAATGGTAAAAGACTGAGTTTAACCCCTAAGATTAAAATGAGACAGGATACCCACGTTCATTCCTGCTATTCAACATTATACTGTAAGTTGTAACTGGAGATATTCGAAAAGAATAATAAGATGCATGCAAATGGAAAGGAAGAGGTAAAACTGGGTTTTACATATGGCATGATTCTATGCATAGAAAATTGCAAAGACCCTATTGTTTAAAAAACCACTAGAACTAATAAATTCAGCAAAATTGCAGGGTCAAAGACCAACACACAAAAATTGATTGTTTCTATACACCAATAATAATCTATCCAAAAAAGAAATTAAGAAAGCAATTTTATTTATAGTAGAATCAACAAGAATTAAATACTTAGGACCAACACTAATCAAAGAAGTAAATGAAAGATTTGAATACTAAAAATTACAAAACACTGATGAAAGAAATTAAAGAAAACCTAAATAAATGAAAAACATAGTATGTTTATGGATAGGAAGACTTAATATTGTTAATGTCTCAATACTACCCCAAGCGGTATCTAGGTACAATGGAGATTTCTCTGTCAAAACTCCAAAATCCTTTTTTGCAGAAATGGAAAAGTCAATACTTAAATTCATATGGAATTGCAAAGGGTCCCAAATTACTAAAACAATCTTGGAAATCAAGGATGAAATTGAAAGACTCACAGTTCCCAACTTTGAAATGTATTACAAAGCTAGTCATTAAAACTGTATAGTACTGGTATAAGGACAGACGCATAAACCAATGGAATAGACTAGAAAGCAGAAATAAACCTTCACATATATAGTCAGTTGATTTTTGACAAGAGTGCCGAGAACTTTCAATGGGGGAAAGGACAATTTTTTTTAAACAAATGTTGCTGGGAAAATTGGATGTCCCAATATAAAAGAATGAAGTTGGATCCTTATCATATAAAAAACTGACTCAAAATGGGTCAAAGGTCTAAATTTAAGAACCAAAACTATAAAACTCTAGAAGAAAGCATTAGGGAAATCTTCATGACATTGGATTTGGGAACAACTTTGGGAACAACTTTGTGTATATGACACCAAAAGCACAGGTGAAAAAAAAAATTGAACTTCATCAAAATTAAGAACTACATCAAACGATACCTTCAAGAAAGTGGAAAGACAAGCTGCAGAATGGAAGGAAATATTTGCAAATTACATATCTGACAGATTAATATTCAGAATATAGAAAGAACTCTCACAGCTCAACAACATCAAAGCAACCCAGTTAAAAAATGGGCAAAGAACTTGCATAGATTTTTCCAAAGATGATATGTAAATGGCCAATAAGCATATGAAAAGATGAATGTTAGAGTCATAAGGATAGCTAAGATTTTGTTGTTTTAAATTGGGTTAATTTATGTATTATTTTTATATAGGCAGTCACTAATGAATAATCAGTTACTGTGCACCAAGTACAATTTTAACAATAGTGTACAATATTATTTTTTAAATAATCTCTTTTTAAAGCTGGTGAATTGGTGCATACTTATTCTGAGTGTATTTATAAAGAGAGCTCTATGACTTATTGATTGAACCCTGTTGAGATGTTAGATTCATAAAAGTCTTAGTGTCTTCAAGTATCATCCATGTTAAGACCTATGTTAGAATGTTCTTCCTTTTTAAAGGCTGAATAATATTCCGTTGACTATTCAGTATTTTACTTATTCATCTCTCGGTGGACACTTGGTTTATGACCATGTTTTCACTATTGTGAAAAATGCTGCTATAGGTATACAATTATCTCTTCATGACTCTGCTTTCAGTTCTTTCGGGTATATTCCCAGAAGTAGAATTGCTGGATTATAGAAAATATTATAATTTGTAAAGGGTTATAAATGCTTATTGTGAGGTCGAAATGGCAGTATGAGTAAGCAGGGTGGGGGAAGGAGAGGAAAGAGGTAGTATAAAGACTGAAACAAATAGAAATTAGTAGAAAAATGCTACTCGTTATATGCATCTTGTATTTCACGTAGCCTTTTGAGATTATATTTAGTCGAATAAAAATCTAGATCCTTGTTTGACCAATTGAGGATTTATTTTGTTGTTGCCTTATTTGTTTGATCTTTCTTATTTCTTTTCTCTCCTCTCTTTTTTCTCCTTCCTCCTCCACCTCCCTCTTCCCTTCATCTCCTCTCCCCTTCCCTTCTTTCTACTCTTTATTCCCCTCAGCATATATGATAGATTAACAAAATTTTAATAATATAATATGAGTGATGGTAGACCCAACATTACGTTTTTGTGTTTTTCTTCAAGAGCATGGTTTCAGAGGAAGAGACATTGCAAAAACCATGTAAGAACAAGGATCCACCAGCTTCTTATCATTGTGTCAGAATATCGAAAAAGGTAGCTTTAAAATGTTATTTCAGAAAGCAGATTTCAAAAGCTAGATTTTCTTTTTTTAAAAAAATTAAACACGATTTTATTTTATATTCAGATTTCTTCATCTCAAACAACCCCTGAATCTACACTGAAGTTTGGAGTTACAAGAAAAATGCAGGAGGACCGTTGGGCTGTAATTGCTAAAATGAATAGGAAAACAAAACTAAAGGAAGCAGAAAAGCTATTTGTTTAATTTCAGAAAATTAATGTGATTAAGAAGTTTAATAACATCAAATTTATCGTTAATTTTTAAATTTTTACTTTCCATAAAGCCAAACCTTATCTGGAAGTTGAGACTTTTAAAAAATATGCTTAAATTATTTGTATTTTTCATATTTTTGGCCTAAAGGTGAAATAACTACATTATCTGAAAAACTTATCATTATGTTCAGATAACTGGATGATTATATTTTGTTGTTACCTTTTGTTGTATTCATAAGACTGTTTTTACTAATTTTTCAAATTTGTAAAGTTAGCCTTTGAATGCTAGAATGTATTATTAAGATTTATTCCTTGCTATTAAAAGATTTTGGATGCAAATAAATGCTTCTTATTGTCTCTGTTAGGTTATGTGAACAGCCTCTCATTATTTTGAGAATGTTATTCATTTTTAAAATCTTGAGAGCATTGTAGTGGAGCTTACATTTTGAAGCAGCTTTTATTTCTATATTTATGAAATTAACAAATGGCTTTTAGTGGCAGGAAAAGGGATATAGCAGTGCGACTTCCTGAAATACTCCATTTATACAGCATTTACTTAGCAAATATTTATTTCATGTCTACTAAGTGTTAAACACAGTTCTAGATACTGGGGATATACTAATGAATAAAATATGAAAATAACCCTCTATTTTCCTGGAGCCTACATTCTAGTGAGGCAAATAGACAAGAAAACAAAACAAAACAAAGCATAGTATATTAGTTAACAATAATTGCTAAGAAAAATAAAACAAGGAAGAGTATTAGGGAATATGAAGGGGACTAAATTTTAGGTAGGGTATTTCTCACTGGTGACATTTGAGTAAAGATATGATGAAAATAGCAAGTGAGGATGGGGTTATCTAGCAGAAGAACATTCTTGGCAGAAGGAAGAGGGAGCACAAAGGCCCAGAGGTGGAGATGTAACTAGTGTATCTGGGAAGCAGCAAAGAGCCCAATGTGGCAGAGCATGGTAAGTGAAAAGGAGAGGAAAAGGAAGAAAAGACCTGATAGTTAAGGGATAGGGATTTGAGATGTGCAGATTATGGAGAACTTGTAGGCTGCTGTAAGAATTTTGGCTTCTCTGAATAAGATGTTAAGTGAATAGGTAATATTGAGCCAAGAAGAACCGTGGTCTGACTTACATTTTGACAGTATCTTTTCTGACTGCTATACTGAGAATAGATTGAAAAGGGGACAAAGGGCTAAAATGGAGAAACAGGAGGTTATTTTAGTAATGCATTATGAGAGATGGCAGTTGCTTAAACAGGAGTGAGAGCGGCAGAGGAGTAAAGAGGTCAACCTTTGCATCTATTTTGAAGATCAGAGGGAATATAAGAGAAAGGGAATGGGTGATATTTTTGACCTGAGCAATGTAGTTTTGCACATATAAGGTTTGAAATGCACATTAGACATCCAAATAGAGACAGCAAGTAGGTTTAGAGACAGGTCCAGACTAGTGATATAAATTTGGGAGTCAACAGCGTATTCAAAGTCACCAGACTAGATGAGAACATGTACAGTCATGGGAGTGAGTGTGCCTAGAAAAGACAGGCAGTCAGAGAGATGAGAAAGAGTCATCAAAGGATTAGGCACTGTAAGAAAAGTAGACTGATTTCCTGGAAGCCAAGCAAGAAAGTATTTCAAAGAGGAGGGAGTGATAAATTATCTTAAATCATGCTTAGAGGTAAGGTAAAATTGATTAATGTTATTAATGTAGAGGTCATTGGTAGTCTTAGCAGTTTTAGTGAAGTGGAGCCTGATTGAAAAAAGGTGTAAAGAGAGAATGGAGGGACAGGCATTGATGACGACTATATGTATCAGGTGAAAGGCACTTAAGAAGTTCTAACTTTAAAGATATGGGAGTTAAGTGGGGCAGTTATTGGAAAGTGACGTGAGTCAGCAGGATTTTTTTAAAGATGTAAAAGTAGCATGTGTAATTAATTAGAGACAGATTCAGAATGGGGAGAAAAAGATGCAGAAGGGAAAGGGGGGATTTTGGGGTAGAATGTTTTATAATAGGGGAGAGGGGTGAAGCTGTTGGGCCAGAAGTAGGAGAATAGAAATTTCCATCATAGCAAGAGGGACAATGAAGAGTATAGCATATGGCACAATATAGGGTAAGTGGATGGGAGTTTGTAGAAGTTTTGGTTTCATAACTTGAATTTTCTCAGTGATGTTGAAATTAAGATCATGCACTGAGAATAAGGATGGAGGAGAAAGTGCTGGAAGTTGAGAGAAAAGTAGGAAAGTTGGGCTTTATGAAAACAACTAACACATGGATTAAAATAGTTTTAGAGTTGTCTGTAAATAACCGCTATAGTATGAAATTCTAATCACTTTGTGGTAGGGATAGTGCTTGTAGGAAAGGTTAGCCAGGGGGAAGTGGAAATGTAATAACATTACAGAAGTTATTGTGTTCTTCCTTCAATTTGCATGACTATGTACTCTGTTAACTGGCTATCATCTGGATTTCAAGCTTCTGATCTGTTCATTGAAACTTTGTCTCCTGAGAAAGCATTTTCAGAGAATCATTAGTCTTAAAAAATGTGATATTTTATATTTCAAGCTATGTGTTTTCACATATTTAAAATAAGATGGGATTTCCAGCAAGATGGTGATGGAACAGATCAGACTGTGAGAGTCCTTGCAAAAGTGAGTGTCCATAAAGACTCTCTGCATGAGAGTGTATGTGCTGGTGAGTGAGTGAAAGTCTGTCTGAGGGGAGACTCAGGTTTATGTACCTGGGGATCTCCTCCAGAAGTGACTGCAACCCCCCACAGTCCTGAGATTGGAGCCTGTGGTGTGCAGGATTGTCTGCTGTTCACAGGGCTCTCCTGAGAAGAGGCAGCAGAAAGCAGCTGATCCTCACCACCTGGCGCCAGGCCCACACCATCACCTGTAACTGCAGAGCTGCAGGCATGACCCCCAGGATCCATGGAGAGGGTAGAGAGCTATAGGCACAATCACCAGGATTCATGGAAAGGAGCTCCATAGACAGTGAGGAAACGCTGTTGGGCACCATTTTCTGTGTACTGGGACCAGGCAAAGACCTTCATTGCCCTGCCCAGCTCAGCCCAGCTGAGGTTATCGTGGAACTTAGAGGTTATTTCCTCATTAAACTTGGAAAGACAGGTGCCCCTCCCCCAAGTTGGATCAGGCACAGACATGTCAGATCTGAGTGGGAGATTTGACAGCAACAGCAGCAAGCCACATGAGTCCAGATCTGATGCACCCTCCTCCCACAGTAGTCTGTGTGGCATCTGACCCATGCTGAGAGCAGAGCTGAACGGAAGTTGAAGTTACAGAAACAACCTCAGAGTGAGTTTTTCTTTTTTTGTTTGTGTTTGTGTTTGTGTTTGTTTTTTTCTCTTCTCTCTTTCTGTTTTTGATTATGTTTTCATACTTGCTTTGTTTCTGTTGTTTTAATGCTTTTTTAAAAAACTTCTGTTTGTGTATGGATATTTTTTTAAGGAGATGTATCAATGGGGGGTTGTCAATTTGTATGATTGCCTGTAGTTTTTAAAAAACTTTGTCTTTGTGTCTCTTCATTTGTTAGTTGGTATGCCTGTTTTCCCTCTTCTTCTCTCTCTCCACCTTCCTCTCATCTTCCTATTTTTTTCCATTATTTTCCTTTTTCTTACCTCATTCGCTTTCAGGGGACAAAACTGTACCCCCACTGCTTGGACAGATTGTAAGTCAGTGGGAAGTGGATTCCAGGGAGCCTCCACACCTGTCAGCGGATACTGGAATCTGCAGATAGTTTCTGAATCACAGCTCCCCACTCAATTAAATCTCAGAACTGCAAAAAGTACAGCCCCCTATCCCCAGTCCAGCTTCAGAATTGAACAAAGCCAGAGGATCTACATAAGGAAGAATAGGTGATTGCATGAACAGAAGTGAAAGCTACCCCTCTCCCCAATCCTTGAACAACAGAATTAAGAGGTTAAAGGGGGGGAGGAAAATATACACAAATGAAAAAAAACCAAAGGATGAATATAGATCTCAGACCCCTGGGAGGTCAACCACTGAGAATACAGACTTCAGAATGCAAACAATGAAGAGCCCACAGAATGACTGGTCTCAAACTACAAACCCAGATATCAAGATATTAATAGAGAAAATGAATAGAAATGAGGAGAGATAAAAGGAAAGAATGAAGGAGTTGATAACAGATAATAGCAATAAGGAATACAGTGAATGAAATAAATAACAAACTGATAAGCATGGAAAGCAGAATTAACAAAGCAGAAGAAAGAATCTCAGAGTTTGAGGATCAAAATATGAGACTAACCCAAACTGTTAAAAACATAGAAAAGAAGCTTAAAAAGACAGAACAAAACCTCCAAGAGATGAGCAATTATTTCAAGAGGCTGAACCTAGGATTAATTGGAATCCCTGAAGCAGACAGAGACCACCCTGGAACAAATATTCCATGAAGTCATACAGGAAAACTTCCCTCATCTCATTAGGGATGTGACCATTCAAACTCAAGAGATGCAGAGAACCCTTGCAAGACAAAAATTAGAAGACCAACACCTAGACACACAGTAATTCACCTACACAAAGTAAGTATGAAAGGAAAAACCCTAAAGGCAGCAAGAGAGAAAGGTCAGACTACCTATTGAGGAAGACCAATTAAAATAGCAGCAAACTTATCTACAGAAACACTTCTGGCTAAGAGAGTTTGGAGCACAATCTTCAATGTTCTCAGAGATAAACAGTTTCAGCCAAGAATCAGCTACCCAGCTAAACTAAGCTTCATCAGTGATGGAGAAATAAATTCCTTCCCAGACATTCAATCCCTAAGAGTTTACACTGCCTCCAGACCAGCTCTACAAGAAACACTTAGGAAAGTATTAAATACAGAAGAAATGAAAAAAAGAATGACAATGCCCTTCACAAGAACGCAGGAGAAAGACTGAAAACACATGAATCAACCCCAAAATCAAAGACAACAAACAAATAGCAACAAACTCTGTAAGAACCTCATGAAAGGGATAAACTCTCACATCTCATTAATTAGCATGAATGTGAGTGGACTAAATGCACCACTGGAAAGACATAGAATGGCAAATTGGATAAAATATCATGAGGCAACAATATATTGTCTCCAAGAGACTCACCTCATTAGAAAGGACGCTCACAGACTCAGAGTATAGGAAACAAAATTTTAGGCAAAAGGAACACAAAACAAAGTAGGAGTCACAATCTTAATATCAGACAATACATTTTAAGTTATCAAAAATTTAAAAAGATACATGGTGATAAAGGGTTCAATCCATCAACAAGAAATATCCATCCTAAACATATATGCACCAACTTCCATAAAACAGCTTCTA